AGGAAAATTAAGTGATTTTTTTTTTAAATATACGGTTAAAAAATAAGGAAAAATTTTGAATTTAATATGTAAAATATTTTATTACGTAATTGAAAATGAGGTTGAAAAAGAAGAAAAAAATTTAATTTACTTGTAATATTATTTTATTGAAAAATGTACTGTTGATAAGAATGGACAAAAATATATTATAATTTTAATGAGGGCAAACGGGGGGCTAAAACTACTTTCTCATACTCGTTAGCCTAAAAGTCGATCCAACCAAAACCATATGGTTAGGAGATTTAGTCCCAAAATTTTGTATTTTTACTTTTCTCATTCAGCGGAAGAGAACGAAATTTTCAACATTTTCAAAGTCAAAATAAGAAGAAATAAATTATTAGCTTTGGCGGTATCATATGATTTGGTTTGACTTTTAACAGTTGACTTAATCCATTGGGCGAAAGTGATGAAACTTTCAACACAATAAAAGTGACTAAGAACTCCCCTAATTACATTCTCCTCATTATAAATTATTCAATAACCAATATTCAAACTCAGATTAGTCATAAGTATATAAAATTTGTCTATTTCAAATTATATGTCTTTTTATCATACAAGAATTACTCGCGACTTATTCTAAGTATATTATCGTTATATATATGAAATAATAATTAATATACAGAATTCCGTCATTTTTCTTAATAATAATAACTTTTTAAATTACAACTCTATGTGATATAAAAGCTTAAATATTTTAAATAAGCAATTCGAATCATATAAAGCTCAAACGAGTACTTGAAATATGTGAAAATTGAACAACGTGGTTTGATTTGTACCTTTTTTTTTTTAATTTTTATTTGCAAAGTAAATAATTTAAAGTGGTTTTGCAAATACTTTGAATCCAGCCAATTCATTTTACTTTATCAAACCAAATCATTTACTTTTGTGGTTGGATTTGATTTCATTCAAACCACACATAAAGTAAAACCTCGTAAAATTGAACACTACAAGAACAATTCGATTTCAATGCAAGATTAAAACAATGAAATAATACAAAATCCAAACATAAATTGAAGCATTGGAGTTCGTTCTTTGTGAAATAGAAAATGAAAATATTATCATAAATCGTTATTCATCTTTAAAGGAGTCAATAAACGACTAATGACATAAGTTTGTTGAAGCATGAATCGAAATTACATCTTTTGTGCAAAACAAGTAAATTAAAAATTAAAGAGTGAACAATTTGGCTACGAAAACTTAAAAATGTGAGTTCCAATCCACCAATGAATTAATGTGCCAACTCATTGGTGCTTAGGATAAGATGAGCACCGGTGCGCAATAGATCATTTCTGTACACACACACACACACACACACACAAACA